TACGATGCAATTATGCACCATGGGCATGGATGCCAGTTTTTTTTTACCTTCCTAAAGTGTAAAAATTCCAGTTATCCGAAGTAGGCATTACTTATGCACCCACAAGGCTAGCTAATGCACTTACATATATTGCACAGTCATGCAATTTTTACTATGACTATTGTTTTGGAGTTGCACAGAGGGAAGGATAATAAAACAAAGTACAGATATTGTCGAATTGTTTGTTTTGCGTAGAAAAAAATGTAACTCGGCAGGAGTGCTGTTATGTGACGAACACGTTAAGTTTATGCTCACAAACTCATTGACAAATTAAGCGCTGGTAAATGAATCAGGGCTACCTACCAGCTTGATATATACCATTGCACATGTGCAGGGCCTCAACATACGTTACCATACTTAATGACGATGCTTAACAGTTATTAAACGTATGAAGGTATATGTGAGCAATATGAAAATCAAATAAAAAGATATTGCTTGTACAACGCGCGATACAACTTTGCTACATAGAATTCAACAAGGACGTATTTAATTTGTAATATATTCATATAATTCAACAAAGATACATTTAATTCCTAATATATTCACGTGTGCATTATGTTAAAACTATTATGTTGTAAATGCATTTTTATTCACGTGCAATTATGATTTCTCATTGTATCCACATGTATAATACAAACCTTACACAGGGTTTCTCATTTATTGATTTAGCCGGCTTGTTTAAAGCCAAATTCTAAAAGTAGCAAATTCAACACACAATAAAAACAAATAACTGCACATTTTGTAATGTTCCATTTCGCAACTACTGTGCGATTTTCATGCATTTTCAGCAATTTCGCAGATGTCCAGTTACATTTTATAAACTATTTACACTGCAGAACAGAAGCAATTTACTTACGAGGCTTGCTATTCCAAAAGTCTCATCAACCAGTCAATAAAGCTTTCTCGTATGTTGAGCAAGTACGAAACCCAATTCTTGATATTTGGCTCATTCGCGATAAGCAATATATCTGAGTAGCATGCTTTCGTTCACTTCGGACTGCCAGCGTTTGCAAACGATCAATTCTGTTTCATTACACATTGCAAAAACACACACTCATCTCTTTAATACACCCCCACCCAAAAGTGGCAGCATAATAGTTTGTTTTCTTAGCCCATGAATAAAATGCAATTTATATAAAACCACCGTTAAAGAATGCGTTACATGTTTCGAAAATGCTCTTGCAATTTGGAAATGTTTTTCACAAGGCTGTTGAGACCACGGCAAAAACAAATTCTGTGCATGTCCACGATTCAGTAACGTGGCTTGGCAATGCCAGACAGAGCCATTTGGGAGCGTTTGGGCGGTGGTGGCACTTCACACACCTGTACCTAATCCAGCAATGCGGGGATGATGATTGGTGGGATCGCACAAATGTTGCGAAACTCCCCATTCCCGTGGGCGTTGAGGAGTCGTATACCCAGGCTTGCCAGGAGAAGGCAGTACAGCACCTGTATGGAAGTTTTTCCCTCCCTCACACGCCTGGGTTTTCTCTCGGTGCTCTGGTTTCCTCCCATATGTTAGCACTCATTGGTCGATACAACCTTAATGCATAGAGGATCGCAGAGCTTGGGCGGTTATTTTGGAAACCGGCGTATGGCTCGACTGGGGCGCCGCGGTGGCCGAAATGTTACCTACCTCGTCTGGTATGCAGGAGGTCGTAGGTTCGACCCTGACGCCTGCTATATACACGTAGGCTTTCGCGACCAGTATTATTCATAATAAAGGTTTTAGGGTTAGATCGCGTTATTTATAAATGCGTCGCAAGCCTCCACCCCCTACCTCCGCCTCTGATCTCGAATCCTGATGGGGTTCAACAATGATGACGTCGTCCTGCACTATTTAAGACCGGAAGCAGGTGGATGGCTTCACTATTCTGGCAAATCGCCCGGAGATGCTGGATGTAATTTTCAGCGAAATGTTCTATTCAAATTGTAAATGTTATGGATCCACTCTTCAACACACCGGCGAGCTAAAGTAGTGAACTATTTGTCTTTTGTTAACGTGACACATTTGTAGGATTACCGAAAGAACCAAGAAGATGAATCCCTGCAGTCACGAAAGCTTTAAATCGAAATTTAACGCGATGTAACCCAAAAACCTTTATTATGAGCCTGTTATATAGGTGGAGTTTGCGGTGTCTTTCTCCCCCGTGGCCTCGTCGATGTTTTTAGGGGTCCTCTGGTTTTTTTCCTCCACATTTAGAATCAACATGCGTTCAGAGCTATGTAGCTGCTATAAAATACTCTTTGGTTCTTTCGGTAAAGTCACGTAGGTATAAAATACAAAAAATCACGACGTTTCGGGCGCAACACAAGCGTCCGTCATCAGGTGGGAAAGCATGGTCTGCTGCTGTGGCAGACTGTTTTCAAAGGTTTGAAATGTGTGTAGCCCAAGGGTCATAAAGAAGTGGCCGGGACTAGTGATGTTAATGTGATAAATTAGCATGTAACTTTCGATTTAAAGCTTTCGTGACTGCAGGGATTCATCTTCTTGGTTCTTTCGGTAAAGTCACGTAGAAGGGAAGTAATAAAATAATAAAAATAAAACATAATAAAACAATTCTCACGACGTTTCGGCCACAACGCAAGCAGCCGTCCTCAGGTGAAAACCAGGTCCGTCGAGGCGACAGAGTCTGAATGAAACAGCACACGAGCTTGGAGCATATATATAAGCTGGGCGCATTGACAAAGGAATTTGCATATCAAAAGGAATTTAGCATATTTATGGGAAATGCAGGAATGTGATTAGTACTGCATATGCATGTGCATTATGCAGGATTAACAGCATCAAAGGGATCTGCAGTTTCTGCTGCTGCTGCAGTTGCTGCTGCTGCTGCACTTGCTGCTGCTGCACTTGCTGCTGCTGCTGCACTTGCTGCTGCTGCAGTTGCTGCCTTATCCATTTTAATATAACACTATGTATTATTCTACCCACCCTAATGTGTATCATACTGCTATATGTTTACTGTACAATTACGACACCATACATTACTCTGCACACTGCACCATGCCAGTGAGTGGAACGTGGTCTGAAAGTCACCGTAAACGTGAACACAATCATCATGTTTTATTATGTTTTATTTTTATTATTTTATTACTTCCCTTCTACGTGACTTTACCGAAAGAAACAAGAAGGTGAACACAATCAGTTAAGATCCGAAATGGTTTATTACGTCCTTCCAATGATTGCTAAGCCAGAATCCATCTTCTCGGTTGAAATTGTCTCTGTGTTTGTATATGTGGATCGCCTCATGAACGAATCTCTCATGATAGCCAGATGGCTTGCAGAGAACCTCTGTCTTGGAGAAGTCAATGTCATGTGAGCCCACTGAATTGTAACAGTGATCTGCCACGGCTGAGGTGTTTGTCCTACCGTGTGAGGGGCTGGTCACCCCTCTCCACCCAGCCCCTCCCCACCCAGCCCCACCCAGCCCCTCCCCACCCAGCCGCTCCCCACCCACCCCCACCCAGCCCCTCCCCACCCACCCCCACCCCCACCCAGCCCCTCCCCACCCAGCCCCACCCCTCCAACCCCCACCCAGCCCCTCCCCACCCAGCCGCTCCCCACCCACCCCCACCCAGCCCCACCCAGCCCCTCCCCACCCCACCCCTCCCCACCCACCCCTCCCCACCCAGCCCCACCCTCCCCACCCAGCCCCTCCCTGCACGACGGACGGACACAATAATCCCCTGTGGGCTGGTGTAACCAGTGGGTTCCTACCAGTATAATCCAACATGCTAATCTAAGTTGATTTCCTTTAACATGCCACGTTATTGATTACCTTTATACTATAACACCCCATTAACACTTCAGCTACCTTACTTGAACTCTTGCTGCTGGTGACAGCTTCTCTTCACAAGGCGATTTTCACCTGATGATGATGGCTTGTGTTGCTTCGTGATTTATTTTTGTTTTATTTCTACCGACGGAGACTTTGCCAAAAGAACCAAAGAGTATGAACTAATTTGTACGCAGACTAAACAATGATGACGTGTTGCTTGCAAATTGCATTGTGGATCGCACTCTGCAGCGAGTTCAACAAAACAACCATCAGCATCATCGTCTTAGTTCGATGCAATTCCCATTTCAACCAGGGTTAGAAGAGGCCCTTCTATTCCTATAACTCAACACTTTTGTTAATGCCATTGCCTTAAATGTAAAAAAATATAACGTTTCGGGCAGGGGCCCTTTTTCACGAATTATCCCCCCCCCCGTGGCTCTCGGCGTGACGTCATCCCCCCGTGACTTGGCATGACGTCATCCGTGGCTCTCAACGTGACGTCACCCCAGCAGTCTAGTACCCTTTGCTTCTCGGTCTGACGTCATCCCCGTAACTCTCAGCGTGACGTCACCCCCCGAGCTCTCAGCGTGACGTCAACCCCGCAATCTCTTCCCCCGTGGCCCTCGGAGTGTCGTCCCTGCCGTGACGTCATCCTCCCACAATCGTCCCCTCGTGATTCTCCGACGTGACGTCACTCCCCTCCATGCCTCTCGGCGTGACCTCATCCCCACGTTCCTCTCGTCGTGACGTCACTCCCCTCCGCCTCCGTGCCTCTCGACGTGACGTCATCCCCACTTTCCTCTCGACGTGGCGTCACTCCCCTCCCCCTCCGTGCCTCTCGATGTGACGTCATGCCCATGTTCCTCTCGGCGTGACGTCATCCCCACGTTCCTCTCGGCGTGACGTCATCCCCACGTTCCTCTCGCCGTGACGTCACGCGTGTAAGCGGAAGCGGCAACTGTGGTGGAGGAGCGGCGCGTCTCTCCGTGAGCTGTCAATCATTCACCATTCGTCTTTACAGCCCTGCGCCAAGTGTTGTTGTTGTTGCTGCTGCTCTTCTTATTCTTCTTTAAATCTGCGGCACTTCGCGTCGCCTTCTCTCCGTCGCTGCCTCGCAGGCGGCGTGCCCACGAGATTTCGTAACAGGCCCGGTCCGTTTTGGTTGCGAGGTCCCCGTGGTTTGAGTGCGCTATCAACGTCATTGAACACGTACGAAGTGCCCTCGTGTGTAGACTTTAACAACAGGCTGTCAGGGCAAGTGCTGTTTGCGAGCACCTATGAAGGCCGACGACACGGGACAGGAGGGGGGTGTTTAGCCAGCACTGTTCCCGGCCGCCTTTGTCTCCCCAGTCGTGATGTTTATACACCGCACAAGGTACTCGTTGAAGGCCGAGTCGATCTAGGGGAAGCCCAGGGCCGGTTCATAAATATTCGCTGTCACCGATATTGGCCGTGAGCTGGAATCGAACTTGGATCGCCGGGTTCGGAGCTCACTGCGCTAATCACTGCGCCACCGCTCCCCGTAACAAGACAATTTGAAGTTACATAAAAATAGGCTGACTTGTACTAATATGTAAACAGACATGGGTATATGTCAAATACTCTTCTGGATTGTAGTATCTAATTCTGTGCGCTGTTATCATCTCGCGGACAATACTGTTATTCATCATTTAATATTGGCACGTTTAAATACATGCATTTTGGGGAAAATTTACCCATAAACTACTCTTGGAATAAAGATATAAATGACCACCCCCTCACTACGAAAACTTCGCAAAACCCTACTGAAAGAAGCATCATGAGACTCGGTGATGATTTTGGTAGGAACCTCCTGGTTACACCAGCCCACAGGGGATTATTGTGTCCGTCGTGCAGGGAGGGGCTGGGTGGGGAGGGGCTGGGTGGGGCTGGGTGGGGAGGGGCTGGTCACCCCGTGGTGCCCTTATAAAACTCAACGTTTAACCTACTCACGTCGGCTTGTGCCCGCCCTCACAGTCGGATATATTTGCGGAATACACCACGCCGCCGTTGACCCTGGCCATTGACCGAGCAACCCAACGTTCCTACCAGCTCCCTCCGCAGGAATGTGTTAAAGAGTGGCAGTCAATGAATGGGATGCCTCCATCTCAATTGTGTACAGTGACAAACAAACCTTACTAATTGTGATAAACCTTACGAGTGACGCGATCTAACCCAACGACCTCTATTAAGGAGAATCATACTTGAACTGCTTTACCAATGCTTTACCAATGCTTTTCTGAGTTATTTGTCTGCACATTGTTCTTGGAGAGATCCCACATCATTTACCTTGCTTTATATTCTTTTCACCAGTGAGCTGGCAACTGGTGGATGAATACACTTGCTGAAGGCCTAAAAACGGGAATTCAGCTTGGTGCTGACCTTCACATCAAGGCATTGGCGGATGGCACGCAATTGACATGTAAATAAGGTAACTGATGTCACTCGATAGTGATTGACAAACATGAAAAGGTCGCCTGCTTGACGAGCATGATTTATCAATGAGTTGAAAAAAAGTCAGTCCTGTTATAACTCACAGGGCTTTCCCATCCTCTCCCCGGCAGAAGATCAATAATGTCCAGTTGTTAGTATGGTGTGGCTTGTCTGCTGGCATGTTACGAGTTTGGTCCACGTGTCTAAACAAATGTGCTCCTGGCATGATTTTATCATTTGTTGCTGACATTTTGCTCTGATGGTTCAGACTAACCTGAATGGTAATTGTTAAACTGTCATGTACACCATTGGTTAGGTTAACTTTGTTGCATGCAATTTTAAATACGGTTGATATTTATTTGAATCCAGTTACCGTGCTATCATTACCAGACATGAATGGGCATTTTTAGCGTGTGCAAAAAGGGCAAATGTTGAATAATTAATCCCTTAATGCGTGCATATTCAGATTTAAAATTGTTAAATTATACGGTTACAGAAATTAATACGAGCTTCATAATAGTAGGTTTTCACTGTCATTCTTCTTTGGAAATTGACGTTTATAATGTGTCTAAATTCGACTGGAAAATAAGGATGTGGTTGACTGATGCTTTTCATACAGCAACAATCAATCTCATGGAAGTTTTGTCAGTGACAGTAAATATCTCTGTTATTACAGTGCTGTAGTTTTAACTAGTTTGATATGCGTTGTATATATTTCTTGAAGTAGCAACGTTATGCCTTGTACACGTTACACAAACGTGCAGCGTATTGTAGCCATGCTTTGTGCATCATCCACTTCGCCACAGTGCATGGTAAACCCAAGCAGTATTCACTTACAGATTTTCTTGAGAGAATAGGGTAAAATAAGAATTGGGACCTGCACAGTAATCATAAATGATGAAATGGAGTAAGAGCTGCACATGTAGCTCACACAATGACATGATGATTCTCAGCCTTAAATTTCCCTTTGTACCACTTAGAGCGCTGTGTACCCATTAGACATTGTTGACCTGTAGATAGCTATATCAGGCCTAATGGCAGCTATTAATGGATCTGAATGGGCTAATGTGTCCATTGTTCTTACGACTAGAGGTTTTGCTGCCACAGGTCGATTGATCGGCAGTTGTTGCACTGACAAACTCAGGTTCATGTGCACACATACTGGGATTATGTGCATAGTGTTTATAATGCACAGTTGCAATTCTTTACACTCTAATGTACGGAATTGTAATGGTGACATGTTACCACTTCAGGCATTCAAGGATCGTTTTCTTACATGTAATACTGACCAGATTTTAACAGCATTAGGTGTTGTAAGTAATTTTATATGATTAAATGTGTTATTGCTTTATTTTAATATAAATGTGAATAAACAAGAGGCATAATTTCTGGCAGGAAATTACGCATAGCACGTGATTTCTATATATGTCAAGCTGTTAGATCTGGTTAAAGTCCTTGACCCACCATTGGAACATTTGAGTTCAAATCCTTTTCAAAATGACTCTACTATATCAAGCTGTTAGATCTGGTTAAAGTCCTTGACCCACCATTGGAACATTTGAGTTCAAATCCTAGTCAAAATGACTCTACTATTCCTCAAGCAAAAATAAAATAAGCACCACTTTCTGGGAAGTCATCAGTGGTGGTTCTCTGGAGAGACATATCCTATCGTCCTGATCCCAACACAGGAGTGTGGTATTTTAGAATCGTTATTATTGTTATTTAGCCTCGAGCTATGAAGCTCTTTTTCACATATATCCAGTAGGGCATCATCACTGACTTGTGGCTGCCAGGCATGATGGCTCATGCCCAATTCAGTGTGGAGATGAGGGTTCATGTAATGCTTAAATTTGTAAAATTCTCAAATCTACTGGGCTGCCAGATGGTCAGGAGATGGCGGTATAGATAATGGCCTATTAACCCATATTTGCAGACCTCGGAGTGTTATTCCCAAGCATGTGTGGGTTTTCTCTCAATATTTTGCTTTCCTCCCACAATCAAATGATCTGTTAATAGTATTAACCAAACATCTCAATAATGACCTCTCCTTAAAAAAAATATTGACACTCAATGAGGCTTTCCTGGATAAGTTTGTGACATTAATGAAGGTGAATGCCACTTAGAGTGCTGTGTACTAATTCTGATGCCATTTTTAACCTCCCCCCCCCCCCCCCACTGCAATCTCCCCCACATGTTGGATGCAGCCCCAGAATCGCTCGCAATGTCCTGCTATAGGACGGGCACGGGGAGAATGGAGGCAATGGAAGACGGTATGGGGCTCACGGAGCTGGGCCCCGTCGGAGTGGGAGACCCCAGTACGGAGGGCACCTACGTGTGCCGCTTCTCCCCTCATCTGGTGGAGGTGGCCAGGCAGGAGCTGCAGGAGAAGCCCGAATGGCGCCTCCGGGACATTCAGGTGTGAATCTGTCAACCCTCCCATTCATTCCTTTATTGTGTTTATTCATTCATTAATTTTTGAGTGGATTTCATGAATGTGGATGTGAAGTGGCGGTGCAGTGGTTGGCACACGGAGCTATAACCGCACCTCCGATTAGCACAGTTTGGCTACGTATGCTGCGAAAGAATTTCAACATACATACAGGATAGGACACCAGTGACCTGAGCTCAGACACGGCTAACATCCGTGACAAGGTTTTGGGGGTTTCAAGCAACCCGCATTGACCAGTATGGTAAAATATGGTCAGACAATTTCCACGATCAAAAATGCATGGAAAGGCCTTCATCCAACAGTGATTTAACAAAGGGCTGGAAATAAAATGCCCGTTATGAATGTAACCATCTAAGAATTAAAATAAGTTTTCCAGACACTCTGGTTCCTTTCCAAAATATAATGGATTGTTTTTACAAATGTCTCAAAGCAAGAACCTCGAAAAATATTACTTGATGCTCTCTGTGCCTTTCCCACGTAAATAAATAAATGTAATTGGCACACGGCAAATATTTGTTTGTCTTAACTGATTCTTTCCCGTTCCAAACTGCAGGGTGGGTCCCGTTCACCGCAGAGTCTTGGAACGCACAAGCGGATCGCGTTCATTTTATTTAGAGCGGCGTAGCGCTGCTGTATTTAAACGCATTGTACTGTACTTACTGCAGAGAAATGTAGCGACACGACCACACTTTGATAGTTGGGACCAAACTGTGGCACACACCCTCCCGCATGGTCTTTTCCGATTCTGTTTCTGTTCGGAATCAATTCCATTCCGATGACGTAAACTAACGTAATCAAAACGGGAAAGGATTCATCTAATAGTCCACAACGACAATAATTATTACGTTGTGTTATATATTATGTAGTTTTGCATCGAAATAGGACCCGTTTCTAACAGAGCGCCCGGGCCTATAAACATTTGGCAGTTCATCAGCATTGATTCCAGCAAGCCTGACCGCTGATGATATACTGTTGACACAACCAGTCCAGAGTTTGCTTGTGTTCCGCCAATGCTGCTAAAATTATGTACTCGCAGAATATTGTGTGGCTGATGTGATGTGTAATAAATACATATTTTTGTTTCTAAGTAGACAGCATAGTTTTAAAAAGTATTGTAGAGGTATGTAAGTAGTGACCAAATTACTTAATTTCTACACTTCTCGGTGAAATGATGTAATGTGAACAACCAACCTTGTTTAAGTGGGCTCACAGATTTGTATTGGCTTCCTGTGTTAATTGCCAATGTAATGTGGTGGTACGTATGACATCGCGGCCAACGTTTTATTGCAACACCTGTCACGGTGTTTGTTTGACAGTCCCACTTGGTAAAAACAACGTGACATGGTAAAAACAATGTGACACGGTAAAACAATGCGTGTGCACTTTGCCGCCTTGTGACCAGCTTTCACGCGCTCTTCTACGAAAAGCCCAGCGGGTTATTCTCCAGTTATTTACCATTGTTCAGATAAAACACTTGGGAAGCTCTAGTTGAAGTTACGATTAGTTTCTGTGAGAGCAGTTGAAGTTTTCCCTATACAGTAAAACCTTGGATTGCGAGTAACTTGGTCTGTGAGTGTTTTGCAAGACGAGCAAAAAATTAAAATAATCATTAATTTGCTGAACGAGTGAGGTCTTGAAATACGAGTAGTACGTATACGCTTTGCCGAGTGTCACGTGATCACAACTGATATACGAGTGCTTTGATATACGAGTGATTTTGATTACAAACACGTTTCCGGAACGAATTATGCTCGCAATCCAAGGTTTTACTGTATTATTTGACGCAATAGTCAAGTGAATGTGCAGCGTCTTTCTGGCACAAATCTACCACCCAAAGTGCCATTACATCATTAAACATAAAAATAAACAATTCTATAATGTAACAAATATTGATATATTAAAAGCAAGTTATGGCTATGAGTTAGTTGTGTCAACGTTTGTTTGCTCTGGACGACTGAGTGCCACTGTCTGCATGTGATGTCAATCTTCGTTCAAATAATATCTTGAAGAGAAGAAGGTTAGTGCTGCACACAACTGCATTCGCCAATGTTATTTGTAACTTTCATCCTTACCCATGTATCGATAGGTCAATTTTAGTGAGGGACTGCATTTTCTTGATGTGGTCTGGGACTCTTTTTGCTGTTGCTTTGCTGCCTTGCCCAAGCTTGGAAATTTCTGTACTTTATCTTATTTATTGATGTATTTCTTTTGACTGATTTGCTTCTTTTTCTGATACCTTGCACTCGGATCGATTTTTGTATTATTTGCTGTAACTTTCTCACTCGCCCCTACTGGACATTTGTGGAAAATAGCTTCGTAGCTCATCGGATTTCTCCAGGATAAATGCATATTCTGATGATTCTGTGTGTGCAGGCCTTGCGTGATATGCTCAAGGAACATCCAGAGATTCCGGCGCCCACCGATGACGGGTTTCTGCTTCGTTTTCTCCGAGCTCGCAAGTTCGACTATGACAAGGCCTTGCTTCTCATCGACAACTACTATAAGTACTAAAACAAAAATTGCATTTGTATGGCACATTTCATCCGTAGATCCCAATGCAGCCCATAGAGAACGTGTCTTTGGAAGACGCACATACCAATGTGAAAGAAAAAAAATGAAGCTGCCATAATAGAATACGAATATTGAACACACACGACTTCCAATGCAGAGGTCGCCACTTTAATCTCCAAGTTGAAATGAACAGAAAGTTTATTCAATTGTCTCGGCATCTCTACCCACCGAGCGGTATATGAATGTGTTACACCATTCAATCAATGCCGAGTTGCGTGTGCGAGGACACGATGTGGGTATTCCCATCTTTTGCAATTTGTCGGGTCAGCGTGGAAGAGGAGGCCATTAACTCTCTAAAGCTGCCTCTATTGGGGTACCTTCCGCTTGCGGTGGCATGAGCAAGCAATTGCAGGGCTGGACCTTTACCTTTTGAAATGACCAAATAATTAAGCACCCTAAGTAACCCTTATGAATATAATGATATGTATTGACCAGTGTTTCAACTTGAGCTCATAAACTGCCTTCATTATGCACTTGTTTGTTTTAATCACAAAACGATTGAAACAATACATACAAGATGCACATGCACCCATAGACACAAAATGCATGGAGTATCTATGTCATTAACAAAGTTATTTTCACCAATGATTGTTCCACATCTGTGTGTTCTATATAGGCCACATCATGTAAATAAGTTCATTTCAGACACTTGTACGTTTTCATTTATATATCACTTGCATTTATTTTTAAAAATGCAAAAAAAGTGCAATGTATGAATCATTTTAAAAACACCGTTCACTACAGACAAGGCCTTGCTGAGGAGAACAACCCTTAGAGGAAAACGCAACAGTGTATTTAAACAGAGGCATTTCTTATAGCAAACAGGGTTGTACTGTTCATGCTGTACGCGGAGTGAGTTGCCCTACGCTCTCAAACGTGCACAAGTGTTTGTGTGTACGCAAACGTCCACAGCAACTGCACTAGAACACGTGAGACAAACAAACACAATTTACACAATGTCACGTTATATGCAGGATTTGGCTACTAGGCTGAGACCATTATATGATGATTTCCTATGGCCAATGAAGAACAACTATCGATTACAGATTCAGTTTTAAGTAATTGAGCTGTTAAATATTAGTAGTTTTTTTTCTGAGAGTTGGTGAGTTGCAGATGTACCCACCCCGTCACCTTATATTTGGCGCAGTGTGAAGTTGCATGCTCATAGCTCCAGTTCACACACAGGAGTCTCTTATTTTGCACTTGTGCATTAAGCATCCACATCATCTGTGCTTTGTGTGGACCCAGGTAAGTGCTGCTCACTGTTTCTGTGGAAGGTCGAAACGGGGCTGTGGTGGTGATGGTGTCGCTGGTCATTAATGTGTCCTGTGAAAACATTACTTTGAGTAGGAGCCTGGGATTCAACCCCAAGAATTCCAAGCAGTGTAGCTTCACTCCCTGAGCTACCTAGCAAAATCAAATTCCATTAACTTTTGTATGCACTTAATGACATGTAAGAAGATTCAATGCAAATGTGAAAAGCTTTGTTAGTGAGAAAAAAATACTTTCTGGACCACCATAGCACACTTTAGTGACATTACTATTGATTAACTAAAACATAGTTTTCGTCACGTAATGGTGTACTGAGCTGTGCCTGGCTGTCTGTGTTGGATAGCATCGGACACAGCCTAGAATAATGAATTATCTGGTAGATAAGAGCTATTTGTGTTTTGAGTTGTGTTTTCTTTTAAGCGAAATTACACTTGTGCCGACGGCTTCAGGAGGTGGTGGTGGAGATAGTGGTGGTGATTGTCGTTTTCGGGAAGTGGTCGTGTAGTGTTTAGCACACTGCTACTAGCCCAGCGACCAAAGTTCGATTCTCGCTCAGGGCCAACACCAGTGACGATTATCTGAACCGGTCATGTACCTCCCCTAGGTTGACTCAGCCTCAAATGAGTACCTGGTGTGTAAACATCACCACTGGAGATAAAAACAAAGGCGGGCGGGCGTGGTGTTTGCCACCCACCCCCTCTTTTGCCGTGCCAGGCTTCATAGGTGCCACTCGCTAACAGCACTTGCCCCAAAAATCTGCTCAGGCCTATACAGGGGATCTTTGTTTTTGATTGCCAATTTTTGCTTGGGAAGGTGTCGGCGCGTTTGGCCGGACGTGTTCGTCAACTTCTACCCGTCGAGCGTGCGCCACGTCTTGGAAGCTGGCGTGGTGACGGCGCTGCCACAGCCAGACGCGCAGGGCCGGAGGATCATCGTCCTGCGGCCTGGTGTGTGAGGGCTCCACACAGCCCCGTGATGAGAGTTGCATTGCTTAACCCACCAGAGAAAACACTTGTCACACGGTTAAACTTGCATGCAACATGTTGATGTCATTTGATTGAGAAACCCCAGACTTTGGGTTGGTCTTGGTATAGAGCAGGGTTTGTCTAATGCCAGTCTTCCCACGCGACCGACTTCGTTATACCAATGTTAATTTAAATGCAAACTAGACCGTTACATGTCCGCAGCTGATGATTTGTAAAAGCGAAACCAGCACCTTTTGTCGGTTGTGAGAACTGGAGGCTGAGAAGTCCTAGCATTGAGTGATGTGAGCCAATTCGAAATGGAGGCTGTGTCATAATCATCATCATTAGCCACGTTCTCACCACTGATGGATGAAGGCCTCCCCATGCCATCGTCATTTCATGCAGTGCCATGCTGCTATATTGCAGCATGGCATGCATTTGGTTATGGTTAGGCTTAGGTTTTGCTTTTGTATTACGCTTGTGTTAGGTAAATAGTTATGCCTATGATTAAGACCCGTGTTCTATTTTGTGTTGGGACTCTGGTTAAAACTATAGTTAAGTATACGGTTAGGGCAAGAATGAATGCTTGTACTATGGTTAGCTTTAGAATTAAAAGTTGTGTTCCAATTGAGCCTGGATCAAGGCAAGAGTCAAAAGTCTTAAGGTTGTGATTTGTTTAAAATCAGGAGGGGACAAGGGCCTTAAGCTGTTACGTTCCCTGCCTCTGGAAGTCTGTCACCAGTTTATGTCAGGAACGCAGGCACAGTCGCATCTTTCAAGTAAGACAAATCGGCTTTACATAAGCTTATCCTCGAGTTAGATTTGATTGCTAGATAGATGTTATTGTCGGGAGTCTTTTTGACCATAGGGCACCCTGGCATGCCGTGCGTGAAGCACGCTACAGAGACGCTGCGGGTCTTGCGGAAAGTTCAAGGACTGGAGCCTCTTTCAATATGGTATCATGGCAGCAGCAGCTTGAGCAGAGTCCTGATGGTGGTTGCCGCACGTGTGCCCGACACACGCAGGTTTGTGGAACCCGGCGGTGGCGCCGGCCACGGACATGCTGCGCGTGCTCTACATGACCCTGGAGATGCTGGTGCGCCAGGAGGAGACGCAGGTGTGCGGCCTGGTGGTGCTGGCCGACTATGCCGGCCTGGGCCTGGCCCACGCCTCGCACCTGGGGCCCGCGTTCGCGCGCCGCGTCGCCACCGTGCTGCAGGTCGGTTCCACGCCGCCCGTCTCGGTCTCAGGTCGTAGTCGCCTCTCTCTCAGAGCTCCGGTGCTCCTTACACAATGGTCTGGCTCGACCGCCTCAACGTAGAATTGTTGCTATTCATCAATATAGAAGAAGAAGAAGGCCGTACGTCTTGTATGCGGCATATACGTGGACAAGTAGAGCCCCTTTGTCAATCCACTGCAACTAAACAAAACTATTTTTTTATTTTACTAGGTAAGGCCCACTGAGCTTTATAGCTCTTTTTCAGAAGGGATCTGGCTACAAATGATAGCTCAATGAAGTGGCTTATCATGTGGAAATTGATAGCAGCCAAATACTCTAAACGCATGTTTCTAAGTGTGGAGGGAAAAACCGGAGGACCCGAAAGAAAAATCCACACGACCACGGGGAGAGAGACATGCAAACTCCAAATATACAGCAGGCGTCATGGTCAAGTTCGAACCCACGCCCTCCTGCTACACCAGGCGAGGTAGTTAACATCTCCCCATCGTGGTGCCTTATAGCCCCCATAACCCAGGTGGATCGTGGGACTATTTGACGTTACTTGGGCACTCTGGTCATTTGGCAATTAGGGGGAAGGTACACAGAGCTAATCTAATTATTGTACGACGAAAGATGTTACTTGATTGCCCTTTATTGCTGATCAGCATAGCCCCACAGTTTCAGTATGAAACCTACTTGCTCTGCTGCTTTCTGCAGGTTCCTTATCAGTTGGTTTTCTCATGTAGTTGTGACTCCTCCATCTTTGCATGATCCACCAAGCCTGCCTTCCTGTCACTGGAGTACATGTATCTATGCCTCCACCACACCCATCCAAATGGCAGAGTTTAAACTGTTACTCGTATATGCCGGGAGAAAGAAGGAATTGGCCGTTCTACTGCTGCTCTGAAGGAGGGCCATTGTCCAATGCATCACTTATGTAAAAGGTTTGACCAGGCATTGTTAGATGCCTCATAAATAATGTGTTGTTCTACAGTATAAGGGATGCTATCATGGACTCATGGTCAGCACCCAGCACTTGCAACAACTAACTCACAGCCAAAACTTGCTTATTTTTTATATTTAAATAACTATAGATAGCTTATACGGTATATATATACACATTCGTATTGTATAGAATGTTACATTTTTTTGTTTGAGTGTGAATGGGATGGCACTTTGAGTGGCAGAAAGGCGCCGCGTGTGCAAGCAAAACTAAAATGTACTTGACCTGACGGGAGGGCACCGATTCATTCTCTCGGCACGGCAGTTGAAACAATGGGCCGCATTTCGAGCAGCTTCCTCCACCCAGCAGTATAGTTCAAGTTCAAGTTCATGTATTAGGTATAGCCCTGTGAGCCATTCGGCTCTTGAATCGGGTGCAACCGCAACAAACAAAAAACTAAAACATGAACAAAAAACATCTTAAATGAATATTTGACTAAGTGCAAACAGAAAATCCAAGAAAAGACAGCAAAATATTGCAGAAAAAACACCGTACACCAACGATGATGGGTACGCCACAATTGGCGAATTGGCAGGTCACGTGCGGTGAGTTCAAGTGTAGAATGCTCCCACCTCCTACAATGTGTCTGGCCAGCGTGGCAGATGAGGCCCAAATGACACTTTTTAGAGTTTCCTCTAATCATAATATTTATTTATACTGCAGGAGGAATCCGATGAGCTATAAAGCTCTTTTTCACAGATGTACAGCAGTGGTGCAAGGAAGCAATTACAGGGCCTCACGTTGAAATGTTTTCCCAGGAGTATTTTCTTGAAAGGGGAAAAATAACTAGTCGAATGCACAGCGTACACTCAGATTGGGTTGCGTGGGGGAACACAAAGAGTTGGAGCATAATAGAGTCAGGATTCCACATGGGGATAAACGTGTAGGAAGAGACACAGTGGACAGGTGATGCTTTGATGAGTGTCGTGGGGGAGGCAAGCGGGGCTGTAAGGGGTGTGGTGTGTGATGCGGAGGTTGGGTGACTCATGGGGTGGTAATCTGTGTGAGTGTCTTGATTGAGAGTACGTCTGGTGGGGAGCAAGTTGGAGGGACGTATCGTTAGTGGGAGAGTGTGGGGGTGTGATGCCTAGCGCGACGTACAAAGGCAAACGGGAGTAAAGTAATGAACCAAACGCAGGGGAGGAATGAGGGCGGGGGAGGGGCTGCACGTTTACATCTGACAGGTTTCTTTTTTCGCCCGTTTCTATTTCAGGATGCGTTTCCCGTGAGGGTGAAAGCCGTCAACATTTTCAATGAACCGATCATCATGAAAGCCATCTTTGCCATTGTGAAGCCCTTCTTGAAGGAAAAACTCCAGAAGAGGGTTCGTTCAGTGTCAACTACCCTACAACACGCATGTACATATATAACCACTATATCAAGCGTATTATGATTTGCCTTCACGATTTATTTGTCTTGAATCAGGATCATAACTCGGCAATACATTCTTTAATAATACAGGGATTTTTTTGGGCTAGATCGCGTGAATATAAATGTGTCGTTAAACCCACCACCATCCGACACAGCCAACTAGTAAGGTTTGTCACGTAAACAGAACGTGGCCAATTCGTTACTAGTACAGCACACCGGTGTTGCAGAGCAAAGCCACAACATTTACAATCTGAGTGTGACATTTCGCCATTAATTACAACTGGCATCATCAGGCGACAGCCAGAATACATTCTTTCTCTACCATTGCAGCATATGGGTCATGGGAAATAGTTACATGCACATGTATGATTTGAAAATAATTTGTTAAACACACACCATGATGCTTATATCCCGAGTGTGATATTTAATTGTTATGGTTGACTCAATGCATTGTTACATGGCTGCAGTGTATGGTCGTTGTGGGTGGAGGTTAAAAAAATATTGTTATGCAGAAAATCTCAATCTTTATTTATCCTGGAGAAATTTGATGAGCTGTGAAGCTCTTCGTTCATAGATGTCTGGAGGGGCGGGTCAGAAAAGCCTCACGAGCCTTGTAGAAGACTGTTTACATATTTGGGTGTTTGTTGTTGTATAAACACCCATTCATAGTGATTGCCAGCCTTCCAAATCGGGTAAGTCCTCTATTTACATTGGGGCTACGTCGCTGGAAGACGCAAAACAACGTAAATATTTTTTTTATCTTGACGCAATGATATAATATAGGTTACGTTCCTAGGGGTAATTCTTTGGTCAAAATTTTCAGAAAAAATATTAAGTACCCGAAAAGACGTTATATAAGAAGTTTAAATCAATAATATACATGAATACAGATACCAGAGATTGTGGCAGACATTGTATTTAGATGCCTGGTTAGGGTAGGGGTATAGGGGAGTAGTATGTATGTTTAAATTTTTTGCGCACCGTACGTAGCTAACCGTGCTAATCGTAGGTGCGGGGAATTAATAAACTAAACACAAAAATAATTTCTAAAGAAATGTGTTTTCAATCTAGATTTAAAAGTCCATAATTCCAGTGGCTTCCTGATATTGGAAAGAGCATTCCAGACAGCCTTAGAAGCGCATCGGAAAGTGTGCGATGCAGTGACCATCTTTGTTCGATGGTTACCCAAACGGCACTGCTAGGATGACTGGGTTTACGTGATAGTTTTTACTCCGTGACGAGATCAGCAAGGTGCCATAGTTCATTTGTGGCAAGCACTTTGTGTGTAATGAGTGCAACCTCATAATGTATTAATTCGGCAACCGGAAGACAATCCAGCTCGGCAAGCACTGATATTGCAGAACCCGTCGCAACACGTGCCAAAGAATGTTGTGCACGCTCCAGCTTGGTAATGAGTTGATGAGTTAGTGTGGCAATGAGTTAGTTTGGCAATGTTATTTTGTCAATGTTATTTTGGCAATGTTCGTTTTGAAATGTAGACACTAGTGAGGCTTGAGCTCCCGCGACGCCGCGCTGTCGCAACGCGTCCTCACGCACGCTGCCCAAACCTACTGCCTTGCTTTTTTTTCAATTTTTAAAAACGTTGTAGTGAATCAATGCATTTTTTAACTAGAATTAGGTTCCCTCATTCGTTTGGCAGTGTTATAGTGAGACAACGTAAATAAGAGCAACGTAAATAGAGGGCGTACTGTGTGTGACCACAAAGCTTGGGAAATTGTTGCCATCGGTTCTGGTGATCTCCACGCCTGTTTGAGATTTCCCGTGCCTCTGAATCATTTTGTCTCTATGAGCGTGAATTTAAAAACTGTGCATGTAACAGGTTTCAGATTATTGGTTTACGTTGTATTTTTGGCATGTGCTTGAAAACTAGATGTTTGGAGAAACTCCGAGTCTTTTATTTTCAGGAGGATCCCGCATTGGGATGTTTGATCAATCGTATTATGGGAGTGATAACATCGTCATAAGATCCTGTTACCTCCATCTGTGGTATTGTACCATGCATATTCACACCGGTGCAAATACGTAACGGAGCCTAAACCCATCGACCATGTCGTCTTGCTTTCTCCAGTACTACTTCCACGGCTCTGACCTGAGCTCGCTGCACAGGAGCCTGCCCCCGGGTGTCCTGCCCAACGAGTATGGAGGGGCGGCTGGGCCCCTGGACGCCCAGCGCTGGGCTCTCACCCTGCTCGACTGGGAGCCGTTCTTCCTGCGCGAGTTTGGGGGGCCCGTGGCAATTGCACCAACGCCGGCGCTCGGGACCGATGGACAGCAGCTTCAGATTGGGACAAGCAGGGCCGCTTCGCAATACAGCGACGAGGCTGAGGAGGCTTCCGCCAAACTCTAAACATGGCGTGCAGTTAAGCTTGGGGCGTCCCACTTAATGCATTATAATACGAAAGCAAGCAAATGTTGTTTGGCACTGACATTCGTGGCCTACCGCGGGGGCCAGTGGGTGACCTGGGAACTTAATGTTGTGCCCGTGTTGGAGGAGCAATAAGCCAGCATCGTTGAGATGGTAAATCATTGCAGCGAAAATTAAAACTACTTTCCCATGTGTGGCAAGCCAATACCCTCAATCGCCAATTAGCACAATCATTCAACGCTCGTTTGCTCCACGTCTGACCATCTCACAGTTACATTTTTAGATCTGGTTGTCATAGACACTATGAGAAAATCATTAGTAATTGCACAGCGTTACCCCTTCCCATTTAACATCCTAATTAACAACTATTGTCTTTTTCAGCCAATGGAATCTTATTGGCTGGGAGGAATTTTAAATAGTTTTATAGTCCTAAGGTTGGAGTTGGAGAGTTTATTTTATCAGGTAAATACTTGGAGCCACCATGGGCTCGTTTACAAGGTGGACCTGGTCAAGATTGCCATAAAAGTTCGTGCCTGGTGTCGTGAGTCTTTGTAAGCATAGAGAAATAACTATTGTCCATATGATGACATTTTTTACGTACGAAGCAGCAGTGAGCAACTGGCTTCATATTATTTCTGGAACATGTAAAAGCAGTTGTATGACTACGGCTATATTCCTGATGCACCATTCTATTGCTACAATATTAGCCATGTAAAGCTTGCTGTGTTCAAGGGTGTAGGCAACATTCTTAATGTGGAACATACACATCATTGTGGATGCTGTGTTTTCAGTGTTACGAGTGGTTTATGTGTGTATATAATCTGTTCTTTTGTAAATGTTGACAAGGTTTCTTGTACATACGATAAAACGGCACTAAATTTATTTGCAGCCTGCCAATGTCAACCAGAGGTACGTGAAATGCAGAGAAAGATGCAATAATACATTTCATTTTTAAAAAATGGCTTACATTAATTATCTAGTTTGAATTTCAATTGCCTTAGCGGTAGCATTCTAGGATAAATAACAAAAGTGATGCATTTAAGTTAAGTGTTAATGGTCATAACAGGTCCACATAATTGTTTACTCACTTAAAATATCTGCCTCGTAAGCATTTGTTAACACTTGAGATTCCATTGCTCCGTATCGCCAGGGTCTTAATTAGCTCGAACCTGGACAAAAATACAAAATTACTTACCTTTGCATCTGCATATTTACGGATTTTTTTGCGGCTGTTGATAAAACACATTCCTGCGGAGGGAGCTGGTAGGAACGTTGGGTTGCTCGGTCAATGGCCAGGGTCAACGGCGGCGTGGTGTATTCCGCAAATATGCCGACTGAGGGCGGGCACAAGCCGGCGTGAGTAGGTTAAACGTTGAGTTTTATAAGGGCACCACGGGGTGACCAGCCCTTCCCCACCCAGCCCCTCCCCACCCAGCCCCACCCTCCCCACCCAGCCCCTCCCCACCCAGCCCCTCCCCTCCCCACCCAGCCCCTCCCTGCACGACGGATGGACACAATAATCCCCTGTGGGCTGGTGTAACCAGGAGGTTCCTACCAGTAATACTTTATTTTATTTTACAATAGCCCCAGTGTCCTGTATAGTTAGACATTTATATGGGAAAATGTTGCTTCTTAAGTATGCGTTTCAATCGAGGATCACCGTTAAATCGACCAAATATGGTCAACGACTTGACTTGCACCTCACATGAACAGTCTTAAGAATGTAAGTTTTTTTTTTTTTACAGGAGCGGGCTAAGCAATATTGTTAATTTGAATTGAATGGCATTTCAATGTTTACTCATGTATACACTCGCGCATATATCCTGCTGTATAATGTTGTTCGAACTTATGGCCATAATATTTAAAAGCAAATTAATGCTTTTAATCAGTTGAGTTCTCTATATTTCAACCAACTGGACAGGGATAGCCTTGGATGTGAAAGCCTTAGCTATTTTACCAACGTGTAACAAAATGTGTCATTCTAAACATCTGCCATCCACTTCCAAATATATTTATCAGCTCATTGGGCGGTGACGTGGCCCTGCGGTAGTGCGTTTCCCCGCTTGTGTCATGAGGTTCATGATTTTACTCCAGGAACCACTCTGGTTGTTCCTGCGGTATTAACCTTACAAATACACACAGACCGCTTTCACGGTGCATGTTAAAGATTCTAATACAAGTTATTTTGGGTTAGATCGCGTAAATGTGTCGTTAAGCCACCACCACCCGACAGCCAATTGGTAAGGTTTGTCACGTAAAGCCGCAACATTTACAATTTGTTAATTAGGTGACAAACTTTACCAATTGGCTGTGTCGGGTGGAGGTGGGTTAACGACACATTTATATTTACGCGATCTAACCCAAAGTAACTTTCATGAATATTGGTCGTGAAAGGCTACATGTTAAGTTAAAGATCCTGTAACGTGATTCGCAAGAGTAAGCCATTATGTGCCTGCGTCTTGGTCCAAATTGTAAAAAAATCACCGCAAATTACACATTTGGAATATACATGATCATAGCCACCTACGAAATGCTTGGCAGGGCCCTACTGAAAGTCATGAGACTCGTTGAGGTCGTCCTGGCTAAACAAGCGTAATAATAAAATTGGCCAACCAACCTGCAGAGGTGTTGGGTCTTGTAAAGTTTATATTGATTTTATCTGAGCACTAAATTATACATTAAAAAATATTTTTTTCCACTTAATTTCCCATTGATTCTGTCAAATGTAAGTGACCTACACGCATAGACACCCCTTATTTTTGTTCTGCGAACAACAGCCCTTCAGAAATTTCACTTCAAATCCAATTCTACGTGAATCTGTTTACTATCAACATATAATTTGCTCTCCTTACCATAGCTGAAAACAAAAAGATCTCATAATCAACGTTTTTGGGTTTAGATGGCGTTATTTATAAATGTGTCGTAACCCTCCACCACCCGACACGGCCAATCAGTAAAAAAGTGTCACAGTTGACAAAAGACAATTAGTTCACTGCTTTAGCCCACCGGTGTGTTGAAGCGTGAATCCACAACAATTTACAATTTGAGTACGACGTTTCGCTGGTAATTGCATCCAGCATCATCGGGCAATTCGCCAGAATGGTGAGGCTCTGCTGTGTCTCCCGTTCTTATATAGAGCAGCAGCAGGGTGACGTCATCATTAAAGATCTCGTTCACTGGCCGTTTGAGCTGTTGGGAGGCATGACTGTTTCCTTCACCATCTCCTGGAAGTTGTATCTTCAAACCAAAATAGCCTCCATCCTGTCCAGCGTTTGATGACCGCTTGGACCATGTGGTCTCCCTTAGACCCTAGCACTTACCGTGTTCCCTCCGTCAACGTAATTTACAGTCAGTCGCCATTCATCCTGGTCACTTGTCCTAAATTACCTTTCATAAGACTTCGAGTAGACATGTATGAGTTATAGTCTTGGTTCTTTCGGTAAAGTCACGTAGAAGGGAAACAATAAAATAATAAACATTGTTTCCCTTCTACGTGACTTTACCGAAAGAACCAAGAATATGAATCCCTGCAGTCACGAAAGCCTTAAATCTAAATGTATGAATTACTTGTAATTTACATAAGCATTATCTCTTATATTTTAATTACATCACTGAACCATGTCTACGGACTTTTAAGAATGCTTGGCTTTCTACTTCAAGATGAACCTATCCACAGATTTACGGCATAGTATATCTTACGTGATGTGTAGGCACAAAAAGGTCGTGAGAAATATCGTAAGTTTACCTATATTCTCTTTTTGCCATAACGTTAATTGTGGGTGTAGTATAGTCATACATCAGTAGGACCGCTTTTAAGTGGTTACATATGAGAGCAGTAACTATCGTGTGCAATGCAAGCATAGGTGATGAAGTTCGCACCATGTCACCTCAAAGTGGGACGCTCCAGAACAAGTCCCGAAACTGGATGTCCTAGATTATTTTTTTTCTAATGTAGCAACGACAGTACCATATTATCTAGATTAGCCAAACGTGTGGCTGGTGTCAATAAAGTTAAACAAATCCGATCACTCGCGCACACCTTACCAGATTATAAAATTTTCACTTTAAAATAGAGGGGGGTGGATGGGAGGAAGTGTGAAAGTCCAGAGAATTGTGTGGTTATATTGCAACATTAAAATTGCTCCGCAACCACTCCAACCAATGATTAATATATGTAAACTCTTAAGCAAAATAACATTTATTTTTTTAGTCTCAACCTATAGGAATATACAGTACTATATTGTGTAAACGATGCAAATATTGTATTTTATGCAGTGCTAGTTGTGTAAAAATGTTTTCATTCCGAACTTGAGTGCACAAAACACCACTTTGGATTGTGAAAAGTAACAAGCCAATTGTTAAAGGTCGTCAAAATGTTGTGCTGTTTATCTTCATTGTTTTATGAAGTAAATGATGGAAAAGCACCCCCAGGTTAAGTTTCATTTGCTCATGCTGCATTTCTATGAAAATAGACACATTAAATTACTATACGATGAAAACAGAAGCCTGTTTTGTGTTGGTGTACCTTGGGCATGAATGCGACTCCGTGTCTTGTAAATTCTGGAGTGAAAATGATTGTATTTTTAAAAACTATTTTTACAGCAAAATCATATTTCAAATGAAATGTTGCGATATTCCCATTTTGGTTAAAATGGCGTAGTGCTTTAAATGTTCTTCCAAAGGGCTATGTTTATACCTCGATGAAACAGCATAAACGCTATCCTGTTGTTTACAAAGGAAACGGAAGCACACATTCACCTAAAATCAGATCGAAAGGGATATTTTGGACATGTGCAATGGGTCCAAAGGCCTTTGCTGTCTATTGCACCCATGTAGTGGTGTCTATAGCCCTTACATAAGCGTTTTACACGCAATTAAATTGCAGCTGTTAATATCGCTAACGTGATTGTATCTGAGGAGACAAACCACCTTTAGTGTAGCCACAGTAACAGTCGGCCAAATCCATAATTCCACATATACAATATAGCCTGGTGTGCTGCTAAAGCATGATCACGAGTACTTGGAAGAAAATCTTGTTGTAAAGAAGTCATAATGTCAGTTTACAGTGTTTTATTCTTACTATCCTTTGTTGCACATTTATTTCATGGGAAATGCTATGTGATGCAACAGTATGTTAAACGTAATAGGCTTTGTAGCCATGCTTTTATATAGTTCATATTCCTCAGATGAGTACATCAGATAAGAATACAAAGTGATAACCATTGTGTTTTGAATATTTTACTGTTTACTGAGCAAATACAGTACATACCAGCATCATCTAATACTGGTGCTATTGTTAAATAGAGTGCATGCTTGAAGCAGAAATTCCATCCGAACACAACTTTTGTCAGTGCCACTTATACCTACCGTGAGGCTACAGGTTCGTACACGTAACACAACATATGTTCATCCAGTACACTCGAAACACATCACAACCAACACTCCATTACCATTAAAAGCACAGCACTGTTCACACAAGCTGCTACATTATTATGGTAAACATCTAATCAACACTGTTTCAACTTGATCGAAAATCTCGGCAACATCCACATAACAATTGTCTACTATAATTATATCACAGTTTTAAGCAATTTACACATATTAGTGAAGCCAAACTATTCATTGTACAGTACTACAAGCACAATTGCATCCGGTATTTGATTTTTCTATGCATGACTAATTGGGAAGTAATAGCAATTACACAATTACTGATTTTTTTTCCACATGATTAATTTTACATCCACAAAGAAGTCAAATTCTAAAACAAATCCTAAACCAAAAGCTATGTCATTAAATGTTAGTCATGTCGAACAGCACAATAAGAAATATTTAAGAAAATGTATTTAATAAAGCAGCAATGATGAAATTGTGTCGAATAGTCTCCACTATTCAGGTTTACAAGAGAGAATATTCAAGATGGCATCATGGCCAAACCTGTTGTCACCACTCAACAGAATATGCAAATAATATTTCTCAAGTCAAAACAGTTGCGTTGTACTTCAGTTTGCAACCAGTTCCGTACATATATACATATGGTCAGCAACAGGGAACTTATAAAAATGGCACAATAAATATTAGAGGCATGGAATAAAATCGTGTAAAATGCCCTGAAAAAGCAAATACCGGTTGCCTTAGTTTTAGAAGAATAGCTGCTTCAATAAACTGACAATACACGCTGCTAGCAAAGGAGCAGTTTGAATGTGCACCCGTTAAGTTTCCACAAACTCGTAATCCCGACGTTAAACCAATTCCTCGAGCGTACTTGAAACAAAACTTGCAGTGAAAACCACGAGCGCAAAATATTTTAAGAAATCGTGAAAAAACTACACACACACCTTTACAGAAGCTACAATATTCAGTGATGACTGCTTAACTTTTTTGTAAGTTGCACGTCTCTCTTGCACTATTTAGGCCGTGAAATTGCACATCAAATCCATGTAAGTGTAGCCTTGATGGCTGTGCAGCAGAATTAACAAGCATGCCACACGTTACCCAAATTTTGAATGCAACCTCTGGTGTTTTTTCTTCTTGGTTCTTTCGGTAAAGTCACGTAGAAGGGAAGTAATAGAATAATTATAAAAACATAATAAAATAATATAATAAAATAATATAATATTTTATAATGTTTTATTTTTATTAGAATAATAAAAAAAACATAATAAAATAATATAATAAAATAATATAATATTTTATTATGTTTTATTTTTATTATTCTATTACTTCCCTTCTACGTGACTTTACCGAAAGAACCAAGAAGATGAATCCCTGCAGTCACGAAAGCTTTAAATCGAAATTTAAACTCTGGTGTTTTCTTCGCATGCTGAAGCCACCACGATGCCAGAAATCTGCTCTGGACCTCAATGGACTGATACCTACCACATTCACATTTGTGGTCTTATTATTTTGTTCTTTATGCTATGCAGAATAAATTGGACTTATAGCTCACGAGTAAAGAGGACACAATGTTCTCTGTGCTGGACACTGGCACGCCATGGTCTGTCTTTGCAATTGCTCTTCATGTCAAGAGTTTGTACATGCCTCTGAGTTATCATACATTATCTCCGCTTTATATATTGAGACATTGCATTTATTTGACATTTTCTCCCCCCATCCTTATCAAGGGATTCAAGTTGATCTATGTGCAAACGAAGCAGGGTCTGATTCATAGATCAAGCAGCTATCACAGTCCTTACATAATCTACATGTTTTTTTGATATTAGTAATGTATCAGTAAAGACATAAATCACTAAAACGTATTTAGGTAGTCCAATTAATAATATCACGAAGGTGGTAATATTTTAAAAATTAGTTTTCCAATTGTTAAATAAATGTTTTCATGTTTCCTGCCCAAGTCTTGTAGGTCACACAAATTCATAACAGCAGATTTTGCAGTTCATTCTACCTTCCCAATTATATTTTTAAAAGTTTTTTTTTAATCATTTTCAGCTAAATTCTTCCAAGACATCAAGCTTAGCTATTAATCCTACCACCCACTCACCATATTCCACATCCACCTAAACTCACTCCACCACACCAGTTAAACCTCACTTAAATTAATAGTGCTACAGTGTTGAACTTTGACCCATTTCCCCAGAGGGAGTTCCAATAAATCTTGTATGAGAATATTTTTTTCATTACAAAGATCAATCATTCTGATGTATACCACTCACAGAATTTGTGCATACATTCACTAACACAACTCAAGAGGCTCTTGCCTTCGTCCGTTATGTAGATATTGTGTAATGTGTTTGCGATAGCCTCTCGTGCATTAATACAGTTTCTCCAACTGCATAATTGTTTCAGCTCTACCACACTTACTGGCCTCATATTTGTCAAGCTTTGCTACCTGCAGTGCTTAACGATAAGAACGTGCTACAATAATCAATGTTCGTAAAATAAATTCGTTAAGTATTATTATTGAGTATCGTGTTATCCTATAGTTTGTGTTATAATCAAATGGGAGTTATTTAATAGAAGCTAAAATATGCACCTGTAAACTCATAATATGATTATTTAAATGTGGCATCCATAAACTGCAAGAGCAAAATTCATCTATCGTACGTTAACACTCGTCAATTTGTTGACAAATTGCCATCCCGATCTCAGTTCGTCACAAAGCAACCTCTCTTGTAGGGAAACCAATGCAAGACTAAAACGATAACGGGAAACATTAATATTGATATTAACGGTGACTGCATCCTAGGTGAGCTTAATGGCTCAAACTAAGGGAGGCGGCGGTCAGTCAAAGTCGCGATTGGAGAGCACCAGGGGAGCTACCAGAGTCCAGATGTAGAGGGAGAGACACACCCAGCTCGAACAGATCTTCACCCACACCGCCGGCCACTTGCTCGTCAGAGTCTTGAAGTCAGAGTCAGGGCTGTGGATAACACAACAATCGATCAAAGACAATAAAAACTATCTTAAAACTGTTTGTTTACACCTCCCCCCCCCCCACAATACATTCGAATTTCCTTTGGCCCACCAGATGAGATGCATAATCTATCAAAGCCATTCACACCGCAGGTGTTTATAATCATTTAAAGTTAGGAGATAAAGTAAGGGGGACAGTATAGATAGAAAATCATGTGATACTTAACTTCTAATTTTAGTTGCATGTGATTAGCCAATCTGAAATATGAGCTGTGAAACCAGCACGTACATGAATAATCATGACATGGAGTTTCTCTCATCCACTTGAACACAGTTGTCAAGTATTGGTGGATCACCGATTTGTAAAACTCCCAAAACCACTGGACTGCAAGGTAGCCAGGAGTTGACAGGACAGCAAATAGAGTCATAAACCAATCTGTGCAGATCTTTGAGAATGATCCCCTCACATGACGGGTGTATTTATGCTTACCAACTTAGGTTATTGAAAGCGTTTCCACATTAGCTCTGTCCATTTGTCTCGAACGTTGGGGCACGATAACTCTCACAAAGATTATCCAATATAAACACAACTTTAAGTATGAAGCTGTGTTGCTATCCGCGGGACGTACCCCAGAAAAAACTGACAAACTCAATCAAAGCGTCAACGAAAACATGGAGACACAATCGAGCAGTGGCAGGACCTACCTGGGGGTCCCAGCCCTGCCGGCTGAAGCAAGCCCTCCCTGGCAGTCACTATCCAAGCCCTCTTATGTCTCGTCGTGACATATTTAAAGAAAAAATATTTACCTTTTTAATTTATCAGCTAAGGCTCACTGCGCTATATCACTCTTTTTCAGAAGCGACCTGGCCACAAATGATAGCTCAATGAATTGGCTTATCATATGGAAATTTAGAGCAGCCAAATATACTCTAAACGCATGTTTCTAAATGTGGAGGGAAAAACTGGAGGACCCGGAAACAAATCCACACGATCACGAGAAGAACGTGGAAACTCGAAATATATACAAGTGTCAGGGTCGGGAGCGAACCCACGACCTCCTTTTCTTGCATACCAGGCAAGGTAGTTAACATCTTGCCACCGAAACTATGGATGTACTGCTTCCCGCCTGTCTAGTGCGAGCGCTGTTATTGCTAATTAACACTTCCGAAGACGTATCTATATGCTGGAGAGCATTATAAAATCCATGCAGGTGTATGATTTTGCTTCCTTGCTCTTGGTACTTGAGTTCTATCTCATTCCTAAAACAAGAAATAGCCAAACATCCCAATGCCGAACACTTACGAAAAAGCATCCTGATGTGGGGTTTTCCTGGATAAAACATTATTACGCATCAAAACAGACAGAAAATGTTGCAATCGCCTGGGTAAATTACCAAACAGTTCTTGCCCACAACTGGGCAATTAAAACGAAGCAGACAGCACTCAGACGAGACCGCGCCATGCTCCTCACCTGTACCAGTTGGTGAGCGTCATCATGATGTAGAGCGAGGCGAGGAAGAGCATGAAGTGGAAGAAGGAGTAGCTATACTGCACTCCGTCCCGTTCGTTGTCCGAGGCGCGGCGTGATCCAGCGCCGCCGCCCTCCCTCCCGTCCTCGGCCGAGCTCCCCGAACTCGTGTCATCGATGAGCGTGGCGTCGCCGCTCGACAGCGTCAACTTGCTCACCTGGCTGTTGTTGGACGTGCGGATGCTGTGGGAAGGGAAGGCAGCGAGCAAGGGGACGGACGTGAGCACTCCCCGATGTTCAAGTGTCGTCGCCAAATCTAACGACGGCAGCGCATTGAAAATAAAGTAGAGTTGGGACAATTAACCCTTTCGCATTCTGATGACGTACTTGTACATATGTCGACGTCATCGGAACGGAATTGGAAGAAAATGGAAAATAAGATAACTTTATCAGTACGTCTTCAGCTCGGAAGGTGGACCGAGGCTCCCCACAAGGCCATGCGGTAGGGCATGTGGCACAGTTATTAGAGTGCGGTCGTGTTGCTACAGTTCTCAGCGGCAAGTAAAAACAACGGTGCCATGCCTCTCTAAATAAAATGCATGCCAACCGCTTGCGCGTTCCGAGATTCAGCGGTGAACGGGATCCCACCCTGCAACTTGCAGATGTCTCGGAACAGGAAACAGTTAAGTCGATTAATTTGATTCATTCATGGAAAATCGTAATCTAGCACTTTTTTGATCCTTTACTCAGGGGCCCTTTATGAAAAGGCAGTCGTCGTCCCCTTATCCCAAAAAAAATCCTCCCTCTCGAATATCGGGAACCCCCTACAAGCCACGCCCAGCGTGACATGGCTGAGAATGCAAAATGATATCACCAAGCGTGACCAACACTTCCCATCCAGCTGCACATGGAGTCTTCACCCTAGAAGTGCAGTATTTTGCACGCATTATTTAAAAACGATTACCTAGAAACGTACGAACAGACAAACTTAGATAAACCACCGAAGAAGAGCAAAAACGTGAAACATAAAAATCGAGCATACAACGCGGCAACTTCAGAAAAACAGTATGATGCCAGCGTTGGCGCAGATTGATTCTGTGCGACGCAGCCGTGGATCTGACTGCAACACCTGGAGTAGAGGATGCACAGCAAGTAAATGGCCAGCCCCACGATGCTCTGGGCATCCCACCACTGCGCGGGTGGCGCGGGGGCCGTGGGTGTAACGGAACCGTTGGTCGAGACGGGCACCAGGCTCTGGTGAAGGAAGTTGAGCAGGCTGGGGTTGCACTTCCGCTCTGTCAAAATAAGCACAACAACAAAAAAACACGGGAACATTATTTTTAAAATGCTGACTTGAGAAAAACAACTGCGAGCAGAGCAAAGTAAAGTCACGTAGAAGGGAAATAATAAAATAATAAAAATAAAACATAATAAAATAATTCTCACGACGTTTCGGCCACAACGCAAGCAGCCGTCTTCTTGTTTGCGTTGTGGCCGAAACGTCGTGATAATTATTTTATTATGTTTTATTTTTATTATTTCCCTTCTACGTCCGCTGCTTGCGTTGTGGCCGAAACGTCGTGAGAATTGTATTTTATTATGTTTTCTTTTTATTATTTTATTATATCCCTTCTACGTGACTTTACCGAAAGAACCAAGAAGATGAATCCCTGCAGTCACGAAAGCTTTAAATCGAAATTCAGAGCAAAGTACTTCACTGAGCGATGGTAATGTGGCCAGATTTAACCGACAATGGAAAATTTACCCACAATGAACAAACTCGTACAAAATTAATGGAACGGATTGCCTCGTGGTAAGATTTTTAAGCAATTTATCTTGGAAAATAAACAAATCGTGCAATCTTCTGAAAGTGTAAAGCCTCTCTTTCACATGCGTACGCCATGGGATGCCGAGGTCATTTCACATAGTGAGCTCTCAAATGGTTATATAAAGAGCTGTAAAGGAATTAATCCTGATGTTAACATCCATGAAATGCATGCTTCCCAGAGAAAGAATCCCCTGTGCTAATATATGAACAACACAGTTACAATGATTAAACCGCCACGAAAAAGTGGCTTGTGATAATTATCGTTACAGAATTATTCAAAGGCTGTACAGGATATGTTAATTTTTGGCAATTCTCAGGACTACCTTGGAGCCCATACGACCAAGGAGCCCAGTAATCATAAGTGATGGGCCTTACCAGGCTCATTAGTCATGGCCGACCAGGTGAGGTACATGGTGTAGAGAGTGATGATCGATGACTGCAGGAGGCCAGAACGTGGCTGTACTTCCTGGAAGAGAATTGGATGAAATGTATGAACCGTGATACACAAAAGGCACCGATCCCTTAAACCAGTGTCTTTTTATTGCAAGGCGCACTGGCCACTGGCGGCCCCTGATGGCCTTTAGTGCGGCCCCGACAATACACAAATGTAAAAACACCCCATCACACATTTGAAACCCAATGGTTTGAAACCCAATGGTTTCAAATGTGTGGCGGCCCTCACACTAATGTCTTCTCGGCAAAAAAGGCAGTGTTATGAACGAATGTGTTTATTTCTTTCCCAGTTTGGGCACCACTGCCAATGGCAACAGCATCACCAAATAATATTTTTTTATAAAGCTTCATACAAGCTGTAAAATATTGTAATACATTACGTAATCAAACTAATTATCACGTTTATATCCACATTTGAGTAACATTTAACCTATTAATTGTCCACAACGCGTCAACTGTGTGCCGTGTGATAAGCAGGAACCAAATGCTGCAGGCCCAAGTCTGTCAGGAGGTGAGTTATGGCATTTAAAATCACCTGGACGCGAGGGAGGATGGAGACGGTGGAGGCAATGATGCACAGGATCAGGTTAAAGCTGATGAAGAATTTGTTCATTGCGCAGGCATCGCTCGTCGTGTAGAAAATGAAGAAGAGCACGATGGCAGTGAGAGATAGCATGTAGTTTATTCCAGTCACCGACAGCAAAGCTGCAATCAAGAGGAACATTTTAAAAGGTAAAACAATGATATTCTCCCCCCCCCCCCCCCCAATACTGTGTTCAGACCATTGCAGAAAAAGCATAATTAATTGGTAATCTACTTATTCACACAAACATTCATTTTTTTTATTCCCACCCCCTTCTTCGACTGGATATCTGTGAAAACTGCTGGACATCGGTGAAAAAAAGCTTAAAAGCTGATCAGATTCCTCCAGTATAAATACATATTCTGATTCTTCTGGCACATGGCTACACACAACTAAATATTGGTGATGATGCCAAGATCCAATGGCCAAGGTGATGGTAATAGTTAGGTATACTATAGTTTATGTTAACGAGAGGATCACATGTAGGTTACCATCTCCCTTCCATCAGCATGAGATGCAGTACCTGTCTGGATCTTTCGCAGACCAGTACTACATTTCGTGTTGGAGTATGGCAACGGAAGCAGATATCAAAGCTACCTCTAAAATCCCATCAGTCATCAAGTGACCTCTGGTTCACAAGAAGAGGGAATCTTTTAAACTCACCGTGCCACTGGGAGTGACATTCATCACAGTATTATGTTTTTTTTTACCCAGGAAATCCTCATTGAGTTTCAACTCTTTTCCAGGAGGGTCCTGCCAAAAACTTGAATGCTTCATTAATGCTTCTGTACATCAAGATACAATCATGTGTTGAAGTATGCTCTATTACATAACACTACTGCAATGCCAGGTTCCAATTGGTTCAACTTTTGTATCCTGGAAATTACATCTATATATAAAAAAAGCTTTAAGCACTCAATGCAGGCTTTGACGATGAATGTTTTTTTTAGTATTAGAAACGTTATGATTGATTGTGCTTTAGTGACGACTTAAAGCATTACTTGGTTGCAATTTGTAAAATGCTGAGATTTGTGTTATAAGCTCATCCCAAATGGGCTGCTTCCCTGCTGTCTTGCAGCCCACCATCTATATGCTACTCTGTTGATGACTTCACCGCTGCATAGCAGAGAAATAAACACCTCAAAAAGGTTGTCTTTTTGAGGTGTTTACACTTTTACGATGCCATGAGCTATTAATAGATCACATATTAACTGACACAAGTGATATGAAGGAGACTGGTGAGGTTCAAAGGGTGTGAACTTATATGTAAGATAATAACCACAAGTTAAGATTTAATCATTAAAGGAAACACTATCATTAGAAACAACCAAGGCAGAACCCAAATGTGGGCTTTGGCTTTAAAATATGAAACTTTTTTATTTTAGCAGGTAAGGGCCACTGAGCTGTAGAGCTCTTTTTCAGAAGCGACCTGGCCACAAATGATAGCTCAACAAAGTAGCCGATCACGTGGAAACTGAGAGCAGCCAAATACTCTAAACGCATGTTTCTAAGTGTGGAGGGAAAAAAATCACGCAACCATAGGGAGAACATGCAACCTCCAAATTTACAGGTGTCAGGGTCGGGATCGAACCCACGACCTCCTGCATACCAGGCGAGGTAGTTAACATCTTGCCACCTTGGCGCATCAGGTTATGCAATTCGGCATGGGTAGACTCACCTGCGTACCAACACCGTGAATTGCCCTCCTCCATACGTTCCACCCATGACTCATTCCACGAGTGGGCAAAGTCAATGAGCAGTACAAGCTGGATTAGGATGAAGCAGAAGGCTCCAGACATTCCCATGTAGAACCACACTGTGTGGGTAAAGAATGAGGGAGCGAGGCAACAGTCGAAATCTTTAGCACATGCAAGCAACATTGCATCATATATTTTAATCACACTTGTTTACAAGTAACGTTTCACAAAGTCTTAACACTTTTTTTCAAGAGGGTCCTGATAACATTTCAGAGTGGGTGGTGATATTGTGATGTGTAATCCCAATTGAGTAATTTGCAGGTACTTTTTCATCATTGGGATGCTTGGCCAATCCTAGTTATTGTTTTTAGCTTTGGGAAGGGACTGGAAAACCCAGAGGAAACCCAAGTTTTACCACCGTGCCACCTATATACCATAAAAAAACAGGTGAACACGCAAATAAAAATGTTTTTAAACCATAAAGATTTTGCAAAGTGTCGGATGTATTTTCACGACACTGGTCAGTGAGGGTTGGTGGAGGCATGGAGGATAGATCTGGATACATAGAAGTGCAGTATAACATATGATGATCAAACTGCCACCACATAGCGCCACAGGCCGATAACAATATGTGCATGGTGATAACCCATCCCAGCGTTATTCAGGATTAACACTCCTTATCTGATGACAATTGGCAACATTGGTAGTCATTTGGTTATAAGCATATACCATAATACATGTATAGAAATAGAATCCTTGCCAACCACATCCTTTACTAAGATTTTGCTCAAATGTCTACTTGCGGGTAAGCAAATTTAAAAAGGCATAAGAATTTTCTAATGTTTGTACATATATCCATCTACACACATAATCTATAAACCATATTCAATTAAGTAAAACATTCCAAAGCACAACAATTAATTAAATAGGGTTAATTATTTAATACCAATTAATTTAATTGTATATGGCTCAATGAATAGCAACCTAAAATTTACGTGTAGATCAGCGAGCCAGAAAATGGCTTCAGTTGACGTGCAGTGGATTGCTTCAATGCCTCCGTAGAATTTTCGGAATTCAGTGGTTCACGTTATCGTTGAAGGTCTGTAGAAGTATATATAATATGCACGATGGGCTTTCTTTTTAATTTACACTTGTGAAGGCCATGTGAAAATCTGTCATGAGACCATGTGGCTTCTATTTAAACTGAACGATTGTTTTAAAGGCAGATTAAATTCCCAAGGTTCTTTCGTGAGATTAGCGATAAATCTGCCACATTTCTCTGAGTAACTAAAGCCAAAACGTACAAGAGCTCTGGCTGCGCTCAATGACGATTTGCTGCGTGATGTTAAGCGGTAGTAGTTGTTTAGATTTCGTATCTCTTTGTCAAGAGGTGTATTTAAGTGGAATTGTATTGATGGATAGCTATTCGCTCTCTCAAGATATCAGGAGAAGAGATGTTATCTCTGCAATTGTGATTAACAATCACCCTCTTCAAATACAAATGCATTCAGAAGCTTTATATAACTGCGCAATACTGTTTTGTGTAAATGTATTGTGTTGTAAACAAAGACTGCATTACCAGAAGTGAAAGACCCTTCTGGAATATAGAACGCGCCAACTGTGATGGCCACCATCGCAGCAAACTTGAAAAACCAGAACCTGCAAAGGAAAGAAATGTTGACACTTTGCAAATATCCCCAGTTTAGCCAGTTAGACTGACATGGCAAGTGCTGTTACTTACCACCTACAAAGTCCCTGCATGGCACATGTGGGGGGGTGGTGGGGCCAGTACTACACCTGGTTACTTTTGTCTCTCTACTGCTGATGTTCATAGAATGCACTCTCATTCAAGGTTGAGTAAACCTATGGGAGGCACACTACAGGTCCAGATTCCACTTATTAATCACGTTGTGAATTGAAGCCAGGTCAATGGTTTTGTATGTAGAACTGCATCACACCCATGCACATACACGCCCTAATGCACACACAGCATTTCGATTTGTATGCATTCAATCGTTTGCATGCATTGGCCAATATTTTATAATGAAACGCATGCGTCTACAAAGATTTAAGACCGCACCTCAAAATTTTATCTCATTTAGGCATGATATTAATCTAAATTTGTGGTGTATTATATTTAGGCTGCACGGTTGCTTTCAGAACGCAGGTCACGATGAAATTCAGCGACACATACCCATTGTGCAGTGGAGCACGTGGGTCACGGCTGGTCCGCACACCCACGGTGATGAGACAAAAGAGCAGGAAGAACATGGCCATCCCAAAGCACACGCGGTACACGGCCTTGAACCCAACCAGCACATCACAGTTCACGTAGCCATGAACCCCAGGCACCTGTGTGCCCATTCCTCCCTCGCAGAAGCCGGGGATCTGTGAAAAAATACATGGCAAAGACAACATTATTGGCAGGATACACACGCTTGTGAATGTTCCTTTTCATTCGATTTTTGGAAAATTGCGTGCCAATTTCACCATTAAGAAGGAGGAAAATAACGAAAAAGTGATAGGTTGTAGCCGACTGGTCAACATAAGACCCTTGCCATGGTGGCGACAAGGCCAAGTGGGAGTGCATTTGCTGTTTGTTGCAGAGGTTTGCAATTCGAGTCCAGCGGCTGCCCTGGTTGATTAAACCAGGTTTATTATGCATCATCTGCTTCACAGCGGACATTAAAGAATCCTGTCATTCAACAAAAGTGTATTATTACTATGATGCTTGTTTATCCAGAAAAGCCTCAGTAAGTTGTAGAAAAGATGTGTTGCACATCGTGCCACCGTACCACTCACCTGCTTTAGGCGCACCTCCACACCTGGCGAAAGCATAATGCAGGCGACAGCAGTTCCAAGCAGCAGGAGCATGGCATAGACGAGGCGGGTGATGGTGGAGTTGTTCCCACTGGGGCAGCACGCGCACAGCAGGCATGGGGCACTGCTGCAAAGGCACGGCACCTGTGTACACATGTAAAACACAGACGCTTATAAAAAAAACACATGTACACGTACAGCCCTCTTGTCAATCCACCGCTGGATGACGACCTCCCCGCTCCATGCAGGTTATGGGGGGGTTATTCGACCATACTTTACTAAGCTGATCAGTCCGTGTTTTTCAAGGCAGGGAGCATATGTGGGAAAAGTACAGTACAACAATGGATTTTGCTGCACTGCCTTCTACTGAAAACGCATCCCTGCAGCAGCCAACAACACCTGTTTTGTGCATGGTGGGTCGTCCATCTAAGCATTATCTAAACTCAACGTCCATCTAAGCACTATCTAAACTCAACAGCGCTTACCAGACTGGTTGAATAGCAGGTGATTTGGTCAGGATATACTGTATAGAATTGTAATTAACTAGCTCGAGGTACAACTGATTTACCTGCTGTTATCACCAGGACTTGACTGTCATAAGCATTGAGGCAAGACTGTCAGTTTTTCTTTAGTAGTTCCATATAGTATAAATATTTTTTTACACTATGGGACATTGGGATAAGTGCTTTAATGGTACATAATGTAAAGATGTTTTTCTATTTTACATGCAATCACTTAAATGCCCAACTCCTACAGCACTTAATGGGTTGTTGTGGTCAAAACACTTCCTGGGTTGAATAAGGATAATTTACCATTCAGTTGAATGGCAAATGTCCATTGTGCACATTTTATATTTGTTTTAACGGTGTTGTGTGTCTTACACTGAACACACCAGCGCATCCATAAGTAATATTTAAAAATACTTTTTTTAAACACGCTTTAATGAAATGTACCATACTCGTAATGGCAAAACTCCACGACTCCAGGAAGTGGCCCAAAGCTTGCCACAACGTAAGGGACCGTGGTGATTTACAGCCAACGTCAGTTGAGCGTGGACAATTAGACCCAAGCCGAAACATAACATATAAAAAAGATGGTTTATTTTTTTTTATATAATGATAGAATATAGTACTGTCACCAGTAAGACATAAGTATACGACGTTTGCAGTCGATAGCACGTTGGGAAGTGGGTTAAAATTGAGTTACAAGATTAGAGGATTCGACAACAACAGAGTGAGTAATTCGAACTAGCTTCATCAGGCGACAACCAGATTGCTGGCGAAACGTCGTACTCAGATTGTAAATGTTGTGGCTTGGCTCTCCAACACACTGGTGTGCTGTACTAGTAACGAATTGGCATGTTCCGTTTACGTGACAACCCTTACTAGTTGGCTGTGTCGGGTGGTGGCGGGTTTAACAACATTTATATATTTACGCGATCTAACCCAAAAAGCCTGTGTTATGGATATTCGTCGCGAAAGCCTACGTGTTAATCACCATAGCATATTCAAAATGGAAGTCATGTTCATAAAATGGCTTGTGAAATGTTTGTAAAACTTGGGACTTTTTTGACATATTTGTTCAATAATATGAATTTTATAATCTAGGAGCGTTTCATTAAGTCTGAAGATTAAATTTCAGCAGGGTACTGCATATTGAGATATTTGACCATTTCCTTCGTGAATTTTTTTAATCATTTTGGGAGGAAACCAGTGACTGGTGAAAACATACAAGGCGATAACAGGAATAGGTCTGTATTGTCAAGTTTCCTGACCCATTTACTGTAATTATGTCATCTGGCAACATTGCACGGCATAAGGTTTGGTAGTTTTTAAAACTTAAGTTTTTTTTATGCGTAAAAATCTAAATACCATGATTCATGTTCACGACTTCGAAGAACATACAACGTGGTCCAGACCTCTTGTGACCCCCAATCCATTGACCCCTAACATGTCATGCCTTTGCATATTCATTTCTGTTCTAAATAAACCTTACCTTCAAATATTGCGTTTTAGAGAATCAATGGGGATCACCTGACATCTGGACCACCCTGTACAAATGAAACTTGTGGAACCAGGAATTCATTTAAATTTGAGATGCAAGTCACACGTGCGGTTAACATGCTGAATAACAAACGGATTAAAGGCTGATAATTTTACCCTGTAATCAGTAAACCCTACGACCCCGAGAATCACAGTATACTGCATTGCAAGATGTTAGAAACACTGTATTGACATTGTGCCAATGTATACTCTATGTGGTATATTTTAAAATGTCTGTATTCGTGCCATTACGTAGTGTTCGCTATGTATGCGTCACTTGAGGTGAGATGCCCCAACAAGGAATTATGCAGGTAAAAAATATGTAAATAACGCAAACAATGCGTTACCGTTTCCATTTAAAGCTTTCGTGACTGCAGGGATTCATCTTCTTGGTTCTTTCGGTAAAGTCACGTAGAATGGAAATAATAAGCGTCAGACGCTGTCTCCCTGACAGACCTGGTCTTCACCTGAGGACGGCTGCTTGCGTTGTGGCCGAAACGTCGTGAGAATTATTTTATTATGTTTATTTTTATTATTGTATTATTTCCATTCTACGTGACTTTACCGAAAGAACCAAGAAGATGAATGCGTTACCGCGCAAAGAATAAGCCATCAGAAATATGCCAAATTAAAAACAAATACACAACTTAATCTATTGGGAATGTACATAGCAATCATCGCCTCCCCCTGCTGGGAATAGTTGGCAGGACCCGCCTGAAAAAAGCCATGTGAGGCTTTCCTGGCCAAACAGGCGTAACGATAATAAATGTACAGCAGTGATTGCAAACGTCGTACTCAAATTGTAAATGTTGTGGGTTTACTCTCCAATACACCGGTGTGCTAAAGCAGTGTTTAATTGACACGTTTAGTTTACGTGATAAATAATACGAATTGGCTGTGTCGGGTGGTGGTGGTTTAATGACACATTTAAAGTCATGTGACTTTACCGAAAGAACCAGAGTATGGATTCCTGCAGTCACGAAAGCTTCAAATCAAGATTGACACATTTATATTTACGCGATCTAACCCAAAATAACCTTTTTTATGAATAGCACTAGATATAGTACTATTATTTACAGTAAGAACTGCATTATTTACAATACAGACATCATTATTTACAAAACAGTCTGCATTATTTGCAGCACTGTAAAGCAATGACTGCATTGTTTACAGTACTGACAACAATATTTTCAAACAACGTTCTTATAATCAGCATATTATTTACAATGACAGCAGTTTGCAATGCAACACAATATACCACATTGTTTATATGGCGTCTTCGAGAACATTACATTTCTATTGACATTGTTTAAAAAATGTCCACGGTGCTTCTTGTATTATACTGTTAAATTATTTATAAATTGCCTACTATAATGCGCGCATTGTACGTAAAACAACCATAAAATATCGCTTTATTAAATGCCAGTCGAATACGAATATTGAAATTAGGCCATGCCATCGAATGCTACAGCAGAAGCACCGCATTAAGGGCTGTCGTTTGTAACATAAATTAGAGCCTCAACAATTAAGCCGTGCTGTAAAATCATCTTAAACATGCCATAACGGGTAACTCACGGTCAAAATTCCACAACCACCACGACCACCACCACAACCCCACCCGGCACAGCCGCAGCTTTTCCCGCAGAGAATCCAGACAAGACCGCAGGCTTTCTAAATGCCTGGGCCTCATCGCGTTTGCGCCGCGCCTTACATCTACCGCAGATCAACAACTCTCTCGATCCGAGAAACAATCACGACAGAAAAACACGATTGTTGTACCCAGCTTGCGGCGGAGAGCAGCCCCAGAACGCCTCCCATGTCGGTGTTGAGTTTGGTTGTAAGATAAGAAAACCTCTCCCCTCTTGTTTACGTCAATGCGCGCCTATTGACGAGACGGGTTCGCGCGGGTTTGGATTTCCCACAGCGGATAAGGCGACCACGGGCTGTGAGTCCCAAACGGGACCTGCCCATGTGCGCTGGGAAATACAGAGCCGTGCGCGATGACGTGATGGTCTTGCGAGAGCCCGCCCCCCACTACCCCCCCCACTACCCCCCCACTACCCCACTACCCCCCCACTACCCCACTACCCCCCCACTACCCCCACTACCCCCACTACCCCCCCCATACCCCTCCCCCCACTACCCCTCCCCCCACTACCCCCCACTACCCCCACTACCCCCACTACCCCCCCAATACCCTCCCCCACTACCCCCCCCCTACCCCCCCCTACCCCCCCCACTACCCCCCCACTACCCCCCCCACTACCCCCCCACTACCCCCCCCCACCTGCCTCCCTTTGACGCGGCCGCTGCTGTCAATAAAGTTATACGGAATCCGAATCTTTATTTAGACTGGATGAATCCGATGAACTATAAAGCTATTTAACGCACGTGTCCAGTAAGGGGCGGTCAGAACAATACAAAATACAACAGGCGTTCAAAGTATAGTACATATAAACAAATAATTTTAAAAATACAAATAGAACTAAACAAATTTTTTTATGTTACCAGGTAAAGCCCACTCAGCTATTAACTTATTTTTCAGAAGCGACCTGGCCACTAATGATAGCTCAACAAAGTGGCTTATCATGTGGAAAATGTAAATCAGCTAATAATCTAAATCATTTAAATGAATGGTTCTAAATGTGGATTAGAAGACGCACCACCAGAACCTTGTACCCAGTGCCAGCATTTGTATCCACCAACAACCGCCACTAAGTGGCGGGGATGGCACCACGACGCTTGTGCCAGGGCAGGTGCACTCTGAGGCCACGTGAAGTGTCGAAAGCTCGCTGGCAGAATATCACGGGACAGACCCAGGTGCCATGGGTTGGCTGACTGAAATGACTGGCAGATGCACCAGCTGTGCCTCCTACTGTGTCAACTCGCTACATTTTACCCGCCCAGCACTCCCTTCGTTGTTGTGAGCATCGCTCTTCCTTCCGCCCTACGTTGTTGCTGGAGTGCGACTGCCTCCAACTGCCCAGTAGTGTCCTTCACCAACCTCCTTCACAAAAGCTGATCTTGACACCGCTGGTACCATTCGTCATCAGCAAGTCCAATCTTCTCCTTCTGCACCGCATCAGTCCATCTCTTATCTAGCCCGTGACGCGTCCATCTAGCCCCATCTATTTGGCCAAACATACGGTGCTCGGGCATGCAGGCTACCAAAGAACGCAGCCTCACCTGCCGGAGGGACTCACAGATGGGATTGTGTCCATATCTTTGAAAGATCTGTGAGCTCACACAATCCAATCTGGTTAAATCTAGGATGGATCGTAGGCAAGCTATTCTGAACGTTTCAAACTGGCGCAGAGGTTCCTTCAGAGGGCTCCACGTTTCACAAGCGTCGAGAAGGGAGGGCATAATCTGGCCGAGAAGACCCAGAGCATTGCATGGAGCGATGGATCAAGGAACTTCCTCACAGCATTACGCGGCTAATGTGAATGACAATGGTGCTCTCCTGATGCTTATGACCAGCTTTGCCAAACCAAAGCTGGTCATAAGCATACTACCCATGTATGGAAACTTCCCCACTCAGCAAAATTTCCCCATCATTCATGGAGAGCAGTGGAAGGAGGGTATTCAATGACATAAAATACCCAGGCAGGTGCTTTGTTTTCTGTGGGGCTGATGGTAAGGCCTCATCTCCTAGTAGCACGCTCCAGGTTCAGCAGTAGCAGCAATTGCCAAATGACAGTATGTAACACCATTTTTGTTCCTGGGTAGTAAGTGTTATTCCATAATTGCTTATGCCTAAAAAGTGTATAAAATGGCTATTATTCCCCACAAACTTTGCTTTTGTGACCAGGAGAGTGATATTTAGAAAATTTCCTATTTCAAATGAGAAAACGGGCGAATTTGTGTCTTTTCGTTCACATGAAGTCAGAAAAAACCAACATATGAATCCAAATTAACAAGTATTATACTCAAGAATTACAAACATGACTACAAAAGATTTTGAAGTGAGTAGTTTTTCGATATTTACGATTATACTGTAAGTCACTTTCGAGAATCAGCCCCCAAATGTACTCCCATCATGTTCTCGTTATACTGTCCTTGGTAGTGGCATTCATAGTCCAGTATATCCTGGTGGAAGCGCTTGCCTTACTCATTCAAGTACGCTCCCATGTTATCCTTGAATTTATCAAGATGAGCATCCAGGATATGAACTTTGAGGGACATCCTACAGCCCATTTTGCCATAGTTCTTCACCAGTCTCAACCAGCTCCACATATTTTTCGACCTTGTGATTGCCCAGGAAACCACGAACCACTGCGACAAAGCTGTTCCAAGCCGCTTTCTCCTTACTAGTGAGCTTCTTGGGGAATTCATTGCACTCCAGGATCTTCTTCATCTGTGGTCCGATGAAGACACCGGCTTTGACCTTTGGCTCAGAAAGCTTAGGGAAGAAGTCTTGAAGGTACTTAAAGGCTGCCAACTCCTTATCTACAGCTCTGACAAATTGTTTCATAAGGCCCAATTTGATGTGCAGTGGTGGCATCAGCACCTTCCAGGGGTCCACCAGTGGCTCCCACTTGACGTTGTTCCTCCCCACAGAGAACTCGGTCCGCTGTGGCCAGTCCCACCTGTGGTAGTGCACCTTGGTGTCCCTGCTGTCCCAAAGGCAAAGATAGCAGGGAAACTTGCCACTCATTCTGGTTAGAGGCAATTCTGATTGCCTTCAACAGACTGGTCACATTGTGGCAGAGGCAGAGCCCATCTTGACGGATGAAGAAGCTGCAAAAAGGTTGGTGACGCTTCCTCTGATCTGCGACTTGCACACTTTCATCCAACAAGTTTCTAGACGTCAAAAGCTCGGCATTGGACTCGGTGAGACCAAGATCTCTGATCAAGTCGTTGAGGTCTTTTTGGTTGGGGTAGTATGGGTTTCTCTCCTCAACTCCACCTCTGAAATTGTCATCTGGACCTACAACGTCTTCCTCGCTCTCTGACTTGCTGCTTTCTTATAAAGGTGGCTGCTCTCTCTCTGGAGGAGTGGGTACGGGGAGCTCATGGCAGTGTGGCACCGGGATGATGGATGAAGGAAGGTCTGGATACGTGATAGCAGGTGCATTTTTGCCAGTCCGATGTTTGTTTGGAAGGGTCCGCCATGCAGAAGTAGCAGTTGCTTGAGAGGTCAGTCAGATCCCGACAAATTATTGGGATAGCGAACTTCATGGCTCTCTTTCCCCTCTGTACCATCCAACAAAAAGAAATTTATTTCACCCATGACTAATGGTATTCCTGCCGTGCAACAGCAACGCCTCCATATCCCCCTTCCAGTCATTACAACATGCACATATTTTGACGAGCTCCCTAAAATAGTTTTTTTCATTAAATATAATTCAATATTATGTTCTGTATTACTTTTTGTATTGTTGAAAGTGATAAAGATGTATATGTTTAAGTTACGAGTAGAGTTGAAATGACTGTCCGCAACACATCCCGAACTGCTCGTATTCAAATTACGGGAAAAGCCATTCCGATTTACGAAATTTCGTTTTACGCGCGTTTTTTAAAGAACGCATCCCCGTCGAGGGATACCTGTCCTTTAGTGGAATTCTTAGTGGGGTAACAAGGTCTCACTTCTCTTTCCCGTGTGTGCCGCTGGACGGGAGGTGATGGGTGGGACTTGCTGACGCAAGGGGCGGGGCAGTAGCTCGAGGTCTCTCAACCGTGGAAGTCGGCAGTGATGAAGGAAGAGGGCGCCACAAACCTGTAGCACGATATCTGTTGCTTTGATTCATTATACACGTTCGATTTTCGACAACCTATTTCATAATCGTATCCAAAATGTCCTATTTTTTAGACAACATGTTAGACGAAGTAGCTTGTACAATGTCCTTAATGATCAACAACATGTTAAAACGGCTCTCGGCGAAGCATTAGTCATTTGCTTGCTGTCGATTGATGAAGGCCAAACTGATCAAATATTTTTTTTGCACCCTGTCATTTACAATTATTAGTTATATGTAATTGTATGTATAGTGTATTGTATTGGAATTATGTACTTTTTGTTTTCAGAACCATTATACGCGAGCATTGGCATATCCTTTACCCAGTTCGTGTGCGTTGTTCCGTTTTACACATTGGAGTTTGATGCAGGAAATTGCTTTTGCGCGTATAAATAACAAATGGCTGCGGAACTGCGCTTTGTCATAATTCTTTCCCAAGATGTAATAACATCTCAATGAACTAGCATCTGCTTAAGTGAAGGATACCGAATTGATTTGACAGAATTACACGTTAATGGGTATGAACCATCACGTGACATTCCCAACTCTAACGTGGTCAGGGCAAGCGGGCATTTAAAATCAAGCCCAAGATACTATCTTGCCATTAAGGATCCTAGTATCAGTTTTGGAACCACCGACGTTGATTTCAGCACACCTGACTAATACATAACACTTTGCAACACATCTGTTTGTTCAGAAAATAGATGTTGGTTACCAGAATATATTAAGATATTGTACATTTGTTTTTACGGCTATCTGTTATGTAGACTGCATAAGTTCAAAGTGATCCATCTATAGATGTCCCACTAAAATAGTGTCCCACCGTGTGGCTCAGTGGTAAATTGAGCGGCTCGCAGTCGAAAGGTGTGCGAGTTCAAATCCTGGCGAGGCATTGACTCAGCTCATAATACATCCAGGGTCAATAAAAATAAATACCGCTGTGTAAGGAAGACAGCCGTGGTGATCCAATGGATAGACTACTGGACATCTGTGAAAAAAAGCTTTACAGCTCATTGGAATCCTCCACTATAAAACACATTCCTGCGGAGGGAGCTAGTAGGAACGTTGGGTTGCTCGGTCAATGGCCAGGGTCAACGGCGGCGTGGTGTATTCCGCAAATATGGCCGACTGTGAGGGTGGACACAAGCCGGCGTATGTAGGTTAAACGTTGAGTTTTATAAGGGCACCACAGGGTGACCAG